ATTCCCTTCTTGATTTTTGCCTGGGTTTAGAGACAAGAAGGTGAGCTTCAGAGCAAGAGCAGAGTAAGGTAAGGTGCTCTACTGTGACTATTCCAAATATGGAAAAGACAGCTCTGCTCCACCTTTTCTTAGAAGGTTGGTTCGATTGAGTCTTTAAAGTTGCTTTCACTGTTGCAGTACATAGGGAAGTGAGTTATCTTGTTATTTGTGAAGAATTTAGTAACCTTTGAGGAATTAAAGTTATTGAAAAAGGTATTACAGAAAAGGTTTAAACAAACCAGCAAATGGATTTGAATGCAAGAAGAAAGAGTTGTTCAGCTTTTGACAGCATTCAGTCATATGCAGACACAGGCTGCAGCAGTCAGGTCATTCTTATCTCAAATGCCCCCTCTTCACTGGGAACCATTCCTACATGGCCATAAATGAAGACTAATCATTCCTCTTTCCCCCCTCTTCTCCCTCTCCCCCTTGAATTTTATGCAAGAGACTCTCCCTTCGGTTTGCCCATGTTCCATAATACGCTGACCTATAGTTAACTTCTCCATTACAAGAAGTTACTATAACTTCCTGCCACTGTTTTCAATACTGTTCTTTATGGAAATATATTAGGCACAATTTGAATATATATTTTAAAATAGACCAGGTAGCGTGGGTTTTCTGCTGTTGGAGCTGTGTGTATGGGCATCTTATTGCACAGTGGAAAGATGTTCCTAGCTCTAAAATAGCTTGAGAAAAGCTGCCGCTCGTGAAATCGTGCTTCCCCATAGCTGACTGAAGCTCCAAGCAGGAGCCCTTGTTGCAGGTTGGCATTAGGGCATGTTTAATGTCCCACATGATTGGGCTGCTTCGTTATATCCCATTCACTTTCCCCTTGGAGGCAGGTAAAGGTGCATCCCTCATAGCAGAGATACAGTAGTAAATTGAGGAATATTTGTTGCATAGAAATTGCCCAGAGAAGTTGGGCCGAAGTTAATGGGAGACTGTTGAGGCTAGAAAGAGTAATTCCTCTGAACTTTGTTTTTCTTTGCTACCCAGCTTTCTGAGTTATATTGTTATTCTAATTCAGATTATGGATGAAAATTTAGCGTCTGTCATGCGAGAGGTTGCTAAGTGAAAGTCTGGGCAAGTGTTAACCCAGAATGAACTGGAGAAATTTAGCTTGTGGTTCCAGAATTTTGTGCACTCTGTTCTTTTTCTGTTTTTAATAATGAGATTATCCTTTCTGCAAACCAGCTTTGCTCATAGCCTGCTTTTTTACATATGATCGTTAAAAAGAATGTTGACTGAATTCTACAATTTAACTGCATTAGGCAAAACCCAGAGGTAGGTTAATGCGGTCCCCGTGTTCTGTTATGGCACATGTTAAAAGCGTTAAGTTTCACACCTTGGTGTTCCATTTTCAGGCTTAAGATGTGATAATCTTAAAGGTTTAATACAACACTTTACAAATTGCATGATGCTTAAAGAAGCCCTTAAGTGGGGCCTAGTATCCTGTTGGCATCAACAAGTAAGTCTAGTTAGCATCACCGCCGTGCGTGTAGCTTTGAAAAGAGAATGAAAGCCTGTGGTGCTGGTCAAGTTGTGCTTGAATTGCTCCTCTAAAGGAGTTTGTTCTAAAACATCTCACAGCAGGGGGTTACTGCTCTCCATCATGCAACATGTGGTTTTCTCGTGTTTGTTTGTGAAATTAAAGAATTCTTAGGTGTCTAGTCTAATGTCATTTTTGTTTTTTTTTTGTGTGTTTTCCCTCCCTCAGACAAACATCTGTTTTTTTGGAGTCATTAGTTATAAGCAATGAGACATGACAGATTTGTAGTTTGGAAAAAAACAACTGATTTTTGGTAGGGGGAAAAAATTGTCTTTGGTAATGATGAGGGTGATAAGCAGTGCAAGTTCATAGGCAAGAGTATCCAAGGACTGACCTCCTTTTTTTCCCAACTTTTCCCAGTCATTTTCAGTTTGCAGTGACTGAGATTGCCAGTGCTCTAAAAGAGACCATCTTCCAAGCAAGGAAGATAAATTTGATCAATGAGATACTCAGTCCTCCCTCTCTCTTCTGGGGACTCAGTTTAGGTTGGATCCATTTTGGCCAGGTGTGTGGGTTTTTGTTTTTTTTTTTTTCTCCTCCATCCAACGTGGTCTTAGTGATGTATGTGGCATTAGGTGCTGTTTAATCTTGCTTCTGCTGGGTGGATATCCCCTGTGTACTTGCAGGTAACTGAGGGACATGTGCCAAATCCATGCGGAGGTGGCATATACTTGTTAGGGGAAAATGTGGTCCCTCTGTGTTTGGTGGGAGACTCCAATGAAAGCTGGGGCTTTGGCTGAAGCAGGAAAAGCTCTTACGAACGCTGCTAGGTTCGTTTATATTAAACTTCTTAATTATTGCTAGCAGTTTGGCACCGATTGCGTTTTTGATCACCCAGGTAGTACCAAATGGGATGGAAGCGTGGACACTTCTGAGAGCACAGAAGTCATTAAAGCAAACAAAAATTTACACTGCACAGAAAAAATAATTGGATTCAGTTTAGAAAAATCATAAAAACTAATGCATCTGGGAATAAATTACTTTCAGTGAAGGAAGAGAAACATGAAGAATGTTTGTGGTAGGCAGCCACAAACTAAGCACTGTTTCAGTAAGATGCAACAATTTTGAGCTATTTAAAAAGGGACTTCCTCTCCTAAAGCACAATGGTAAAAATCTTAAAATTGTGTGTAGGTGCATTTCCTTGCTAGAAAGGCACCAGCAAACTGCCTTGTGTTCAGAGAAGAACCCTAAAATTGATGTCAGTCCTGATGTTTGATAAGACAGTTACGTGAACTTATCTGAGAGTCTTTAAGACAAGTGGAAGTTATAATATCCAAGATAGAAAAGACTTTTTTTTTGCAGGAAGTGCAGGAGCTTTGAATAGGATTGACAGGATGAGATTGAAGCTAGGAAAATTTGAAGCAGGCTATTGGGAATTCTTCCGGTTAGAAGCATCTCTCTGAGGTGCGCTGTGTATTAGTTGATAGCCTGAGATGCATCGCACTGCAAGGAGACCTTGCAAAAGAAGTTCTGGAAGCCTCAATACTTTAAATGTGAAGGAGTATTTAAAACTAGACTTTATTAAATTTACTAAGTTTAATAAATTGGATTTATTAAATCTTAGAAGATTTTTTGTTGTTGTTTGATGTTGTGTGGGGGATGGAAGAAATCTACTGGGCAAAAAGTCTTGCATCCACCTCTAATGTAGTGTGTGAGCGATAGTGCAAGTGAGCCCATGATCAACCTGTTTGGTAAAGAAGAAAGACTTGAGCAGGCACTTATGCTCCGAGATTAAAAAAAAAAAAATCCTGGGAAAGAGCAAAACTCTCGTTTAGTATTTATAATAATAAAAAAGGCAATGAAAGCTAATCCCTGTTGTATCCTTTACTGTGCATATGTGACAAGCTTCAAAATGATGGTTCACTGTTTTCATCCTTTTAGAAACAGCTGAGAAGCAGAAAAAAGGAGGAAAAAAAATCTGTTTTGTGGACCCTTCTGCTGGAGTTCAGAAATTTCAACAGCGTGATCTTTTGACGTAAACTGATATTTCAAGAGAGATTCCTGCCATTATGAATGAAGTAGCAATAGTGAAGGAAGGGTGGCTTCACAAACGAGGTAAGTGCCTGCTCCTTGCGGCAATCCTGGTGTTTGGCCATTCAGCAAACTGGCTTTCTCGGGGTGGTCTTTCATTTAACAACGTATCTTTAATAGCCCCTTACTATTTTCCTGTTTTCCTTAATTGGAAACTGTGTTTAAGGAGTGTGCACGACTTTCACCTCTGAGAAAGTGCAGGTATGAAGGGTTTTCTCTGGGTACATGCTCGAGCACAGAAAACTGTCAACTGTTCAATTTGGAAATTAGCTTGGATTTTAAAGATAGCAGGTTAAAGAGATGCTACTTGGGGAGTTAAACTGTAGCAAATTACTTTGTCTTAAATGGAGATTTGTGACTCTTCCATTTGTGTGCATGCACTGCTAGAAGATAGGATTGTCTTGAGGTAGTTCTTCATTTGAACAGGGGAAATATGCCTGCGTTTTGAGAGCAATGTTGTGCTCTTGCAGAGACTTGCTGGAGAAAAGGTTTTGTTTGCCACTGAGCCTCTCTTGGTACCCGTGTCCCAGGTATGAGGAATAGCCCCAAGTTTGGGACGCTCAGGGCATTTCTGCTCGACTCTTCTTGAAATACAGTTTTTCTAAAAAGTCTCTATTCTTGATGGGGAAACTAAAATAATGCAGTCACGCGTATCGTTACGCTTTTGGTTTTCTCAGATGCTTTTTTACCAAAACACTGGGTTTGCTGTTTCGGAGTGTTTTTTTTTTTTTTTTTTTTTTTTTGGCTTGTTTTGAGCACTCTGATGCTGCTCCTGTAGGGTACTTGGTTTACCCCTTTCTTTGTGTTCTACTATCGCTCTGTGGAAAGGAGAGAAGTGTTAGGTACTTTCCGTAATCTCGTCATTTTTTTGGACCAAAAAGGGCATTTGTGTGCACCAGCAGCATGGAAGCTACCTGCTTCTGCAGACCCAGGATTTTTCTAGAGGGTTTGCAACAACGTGCCTGAAGGTGCAAGGGTACAGCATAATTATTTTTGGAAGAAAATGGAAGTGTGTTGTTCTAACCTTGATAAAGGTGGCTGTTTCTTCTGGCAAGAAGGAGTAAAGTTGAGAATCTAGGTTTTGAAAAGGTGGAAATATATATTTCTGACAGTTGGCTATACAGTTTAGCTTTACAAATTCTCATGCTCGATTTGAAAAAAGGTTTTGATGTTATTGGTAAAGCTTCTTCAGGTTTTTGTTTTGGTCTATTGAGGTCAGAAGCTAGGACAGGAATTTTTTTTGTTACTTTAAATAATTTTTTGGATAGTTTTGGTAAAGCCAGGCTGTCTTGTTCTGATAGTGTATTTGAGAATAAGACTGTTTGGATAAAACAGGAGAAGAAATGCAGAACTTTGTTTCTCATTCCTATTTATAATCATAGAAACTCTTTAAATGAAAGAGATATTTTAGATTAAAATCATGTTTTTAGCCTGTGTGTTTTTAACCTATTGTTATAATTCTTTCAGTATTTATCTGTAACTGAAAGATAGGAAGGAAATTTTAGATTATTTTGTTATTTTGAGCAGCACTGTACATAATTCTAGGTGATATATTTATTTAAAAAAAAACCATGAAAACAGAATAGAAAAACTGCATGTATTGTCAGTATGATTCAGAGGCAGATGTGTCTGAACCATTTAACAGCCTAGTTATGTTTCAGACTTGTTTGTATCTACTCTTGAGACTTCTAATTTTCTGTGTTTCTAGGATTACTCATTTCAAGTAAGGAGACCTCTGGAAGAGGTGCTCAATAAAGATGCCAGATCTTCAGATCTGCCTTTTTTTTTTTTTTTTCTCTCTTAATTACTGTAAAGAAACAGATTATTATCTGCAAGGGCTTGCTGATAATCTTGCCATAATAGTATCTGCTGAGCATATTTCCATTACTCCTACCCCCAAATGGTACTGTGGATGTTCTGAATATTTGAGATTTAATAATGTAGACAAATTTCTGTTGTACCTTGGTGGGTTTTTTGGATGCTGCTAAACCCAGTCTTTTCATTTGTTACCCAGCGCTTGTCCCCGTTTTTGCCTTTCTGCCGTCTGCAGTAACACCTATTTCATCCTACGTGATGGATCGTTTTGCAACTGTTAATTTGGTGTTGTTCATGTGCGGGTCCAGAAAATGATGTTGTGTCTCCTTGGCCTGTTGTATCTGCGTCAGCTCCGTTACTCTTAGTTTTCTTTGCTGTTTCCAGATCAGTTGAGAAACTCAATTCTCTTGGTTTGGGGGCGGGGGGAAGGGGGACAAGGAGACTGCCCCACTCGTGTGTGTGTTTGCTTTACAAAGGTTTTTTTTTCTTTTTTAATCATCTATATTTATTGTCAGATAGATCTGCGCTTGAGAAAAAAAGACACTATGGGTTTGCTAGCTCGGCAAGATTAAGTGCTTCAACCACAGGATGTTTCCAAAACTGATGCCCGATACTGCGAGCTTCTAAAGTGAGGCATAAACAGTAATTACTGCAGGGAGGGAGCGCCGAGGGAGGATTTCAGATCTAGGAAATGTGCATTGTTTGTCTTTGGATAACTTGTAAAGCTCAGGGTTGGACTGCTTGTGGCCTTTAAAGATCCTCGGGCTTTCCACACGCAAATATTTTAAGCAGCGATTGGCCAAAATCCAGATTGGGCAATTAAGTTCTGTCTACCTCAAATCCCCCCGTAGCTTCAGCTGGATACGGTTCCTGTTAGTTCCTTGAACAGTGTGGATGCATGCAGTTAAACAGTTGCTGCATCTCACCCCAGCAGTGGCTTGATTTTTGGTGGTTTTAATGATTTGTGTACGTGTAAATCAGCCTGCAAAGTGCTCTGGAGGCTTCTGGATGGCAGGTGGGTATGAGCACAATAAAGGTGTCGTTACCAGGAGCAGGTGTGTTGGCCTGGCAGGGAAATCGCAGGGCGCTCTAGAATCCCGCCTTGTTTTCTTCTATCAGCTTGCTTTGGGTTTCTGTTGTCGTATCCAAGATTAAAAATACAAATGGAGAAATGAAATTAAACATCTCTGCCTGGCCGAGAGTTTTTGGCAGTTCTGTAAGTCGATCGCTTAAAGGAAGTTCTACTTCCAGTAGCACAGATGTTTGCTTGTGCAGAGGCCAGAGTCATCCCCATGACACGTCTAACCTCAAGCAGGCAGAAATGGAAGAATTCATGAATGAACTTTTTTTTTTTTCCCCCAGTTGGCAGCACTTGGTGCTGTTAGTCTAATCGCAGTGAGGCGATAGGCTCTTATGTGCAAACAAAAGCGGGGGTTAAAATCAATCCTAACTGCTTTTCTTTTCTTTTTTTCTTCTTCTTTTTTTTTTTTTTTTAAACTGCAGAGGTTACACAAATGCAATGAAAATTTGGGGTAAGGAGCCTCAGTTTTGGGACTGGTGTGCCATGTACACCAGTGTGTCTGGTATTTGCATGTTTGTATGTCGGAGAACTACCGGGAATGTATGGAGTAAAAGAGAGTAGCTGCCGAGGTGCCCTAATTGCGATCGCCTACGAGGAGAAAATAATTTTTCCTGATGGTACTTGTTGAAATTGAGATGAGTTGTTTTCTGGATGTCCGTCATGAGCTTTCTAACTGCCGGCTTTGTGATAACTTTTTTTTTCTTTTCATTTTAGATTAAAAAAGGTATATTTTGATGTATTTAGTTTAATTTACTGATCCATTTTAAAGGTCTCGCTGCATTTCTCGTATTTTTCTGCTCTGCCCCCTGTTCTGTAAAAGTCCTGCTATTGTCTTCATTTTTTTTTTTTCCCTTTTCCTTTCTGCAAGGCTAACAAAGAGCGGGATTGTGCATTTTGATACTCTGTCATCTCGGTCTTCCCTAGTATATCCGGTTTTCTTATTAGGGCATAAACTCTTATAGAAAAAGGAGTCTTTGCGGAGGGAGGAGGGGAGAGGGAAGATCATACCCTGACATTTAGAAACAGAAAGAGAAATTTGGATTTCTCACTCTGAGAACTCTAGAGCAATTACAGGCAATGGGAGGGGCCCGTATATTCAGCCATTAATATTTAGTAGCAAATGTAAAACAACTTTTTTTTGGCGGGGGGGGGGGTTTGGGCGGTACAAAAAAAAAAAAAATAAACAGTCTATAACTACTGCACAGTAATTTAAACCATGAAAACCAGAACATGCCTTCCACATGTCACTGTAGTGTGGACTTCAGGCAGATACAATTATTTGCCTAATTTGAAGTCTGGCAGCCTGACAGACAAAAATTGCTAGAGGTTTTACATGAGGAATTATATAAAAGATAGTCCACTGCTGGGGGAAAAAAAAGCACTAATTTTGTTAAAGAACTACTCAGTAATGAAATGGAGTGTTACAGATGTTCTAGTACATAAGCAGCAGTCCTTGGTGATTGCAAAGATCCCGGCTTCATGTATTTTCCTGTAGCTTCACTGTGTAAAATGAATGCAGGATCCATATAAAATAGCAGTGGAGAATTGCTGCTCTTTTATCTAGCATAGTAACAGGCTGTGAACTTTAGCTTTGTTATCTTGACCATTGATTCATGCTTCCAGTATTGTGTTAGTACAGATCAAAACAGAATCATGTAATGTATGTCAAGGAGTTAACACATTTTTTATTATTTTTATTTTTTCAAGCCAGTGGGTCCAGTGTTGTTTTTCTTCACCTATTCTTTTGTTTCTATTCTGGCCGTGTCCCCTACCTCTTTCTGTGTATGCGTGTTTTATTTTGGGGTGTTCTGTGGGTGGGTGACTTGGCTTTTGGTGGTCCCTGGGATGTAACAGTGTAGTTCCTTGGTGACACATGTAACCAGAACCATCAATGTTTGACTTAGTTCAAGATTTGCCTGGCTTTGGTGATATTTCAAACGAAAGGCTTTGGCACTTGATAAAAAGGATCTTTAGACAGCGCTGAACACTGAAGATGCCAGCTACAGAGGGCACATCCACTTCAGAAGGAAAAATGGGGAGGGAAACTAAGAAAACGAGCTAAAAAAAGAATGGGGAGGGGGTAAGTCTGTAACAAGGGAAATAAACTGAGTCTGCTTCCAAAGTTGAA